CTCAAAACAAGCTGCATTAAAAGCAGAGCTCCATGCAAGAGACAGTGGGATATAAAACATAGCAGTGGTGAACATATTTAAAGGGAACTTTAACCCTTTGGAGCTGGAGAACCTTTTATGTGTAAAATGCCCTATTGGGGCCAAAGTGAGAAGAGAGCTAAGCAGCCAATGTTAAAGGTTCCGGAGCATTCTGATATGCATCTTTTCAGCGTGGCATTGATGTGGACATTCATGTGGCACTTTTTATATTTTTTCATATCCAGATGTGGCTCTCTCTGCCATATTGGACCTCTATGCAGTTTCACATGGTCTGCGCTCCTCTCATATGCTTTTGTGCCGTTGTGTTAATAACAGGTTAGTATGTGAAAAAAATTTAAATAATGGGTAAATTATAAACTGGCGTAGAATGTGACCATCCAAGATGGCAATTTAATCCCTACTGGCTCCTTACTTCGCCTCTTTTAAAAGAAAATAGTATAAAACTCTTTGATCATCATACACCCCCACATATCATGCCTGTAGTGCTCCAAGTAATTGAAAGATCAAAATGTATAAAATAAATCAAGAAAAAAAAAACACATCTACTCAGTAAACGTGTCCTGGATGTCAATGGCTGCTAAAACAAATCACTCGTTACCTGAATATTTAAGTTACACAATGTGGCCATCTAGTGGTAAATACTCAGAATAGCAAGAACTAAACAAGATATTTTTATGGTATACAATACATGTTACAACTTGCTGCTCTCAACTGTGAGACTCCCAGCCTAATCCATGACACATTTAGAACAGCTCGTAAAGCTGTAAATCAGCTCAGGTCACCAATTTTGCAGAGAGCCGCCTTGATGGCCCAGTTCATCCCACAAATGTTTGTAATGTAGGTTTTTTTTTTTATGTCAGTGCATCAAGTGAAAACTGTCCTTTGATGCTCTCAGCACTAGCGCTGAAATGGTTAAATTAATGTTAGTAGGGCTGTTCATTTTGCATAGTAAGGGTTTTAAGGGTAGCTGAGGATATCAGAGCATTTTGTTTTTGTAAAGCACCAAACAACATATCCATATACAGCTCACTGTAGTAGTTATGGTACCATGATGACCTCCTGTATGTTGTCAAACCTTAAAAGCTTTTGCTAATAGTTTACGAGCTGTTGTGTAGCGGGGATAAGGGCTATAGGGTAGGGTGAAGTGGCTCTTGATATAGGTTAACAGAAGAGCTAATGGAAGCTCGTAGCAGGACTGGAACAGACGAGGCAGGGAGCAGCACCCACTAGCAATAAGTTTGACCACTTACAAGGGGGGCGGGGTGGCACCAGGGCACTATAACCACTACAGTGTGCTTTATAATTTATAATATGTATGACTTTATGTAATGTGTTGTTCATCTGAGGTTGTATCTACCTAATTTTAAGACCTGCTAAGGAACAGATATTATTATATCCTCATATGCAAGGGCGTACCTAGAGCATTTGGCACCCGGGGCGGATCCTGTGCTTGGCACCCCCTTGCCCCCTCCCCCCAAAAAAGCCTCGCCCCCAGCGCCAGTTTGGCTCCGATTTTACTTAGCTCCGCCCCACTTTTCCTCCGTGCGGCCAGTTTATCAGCTGTTTGCTTGTGTGAGCTGTACTGGCCGCACGGCACCCTAACTACCATGGGGCACTGTGTCGGCTACAGCTCACACAGCCCCCTCCAGCCAGGGCCGGGGCAAGGATTTTTGCCGCCGTAGGCAAAAGTAAAGTTTGACGCCCCCCCCCCATGTGACATCACAATGCCCCACCCATATGATTTGCCATGTTATCTAACGCCAGTGCTGCAGTGCCGCAGTGTTTACATTAAAAGGCCTGCAAGGACAGGCTATAGACACCAGAACCACTACATTAAGCTGAAGTGGTTCTGAGGACTATAGTGTTTCTTTAATGTGAGGTAAATTAGAGCTTAGTGCCACGAATAATATACTAGATTGCCTACTTACAACTAGATGAGGATGATGATGGGCTCTAGCTGCAGTCTGGCTCCACTGGTCTGGTGCAGAACAGGCTCTCTGGAGGCGGTTTGTAACTGTGGTCACAAAAATCAATGTTCTGGGAGAACGGGAAGCAGCTCCATTTTTTGGGGGCCCTTTACACAGCTCAAGGTCTGGGTCCCAGGGTCCACTTTCATGTTCCACCAATGAGTTTGTTCACAGGGGGTGGAGTGTGTAGGGGATGTCCTGAATGCATTGTGTGAATCCGTGTATGTATGTGTAAGGGCTGCAAGGTGTGTTTCTGTGTATGTACGGGATGCATTGAGTGTGTGTAATGAATGCATTGTGTGTGAAAGGGATGCATTGTGTGTAACGGTTGCATTGCTTGTGTATGTGTCTCTGTGTGTGTAATGCAGTGTGTGTAATGCATTGTGTTTTTCTGTGTGCAATGGGTACATTGTGTGTGATGAATGTCAATCTCCCCCCCCCCTCCAATTTCCTTCTTCCCCCTCCTAATTTCTTTCTTTATCCCCCTCTCCAATTTCCTTCTCCCCCTCCCAATTTCTTTCTTTATCCTCCCTCGCAATTTCTTTCTTTATCCCCGTCTCCAATTTCCTTCTCCCCCTCCCAATTTCTTTCTTTATCCCCCCTCCCAATTTCTTTCTTTATCCCCCCTCCCAATTTCTTTCTTTATCCCCGCCCTCCTAATTTCTTTCTTTATCCCCACTGAGTGTGCACTTCCTGTTAGTCCGGCCGGGTACAGGAGACAGATGCTCCCTGTACCCGCGGACCATGATACAGAGCTCGGCCACGCTACAGTGAGGGAGTGACAGGAGGGAGCGCTGAGCGTTTCCCTCCTGTCAGCCCCTCTCCTCAGGCTGCGCCCATGCGGGCAAAGCTGCAGCCGCCTGAGGCTCTCTACAGAGCGCTCGGGCGGCTGAAGCATGAGGGGGGCCGGCGCTCCACTGCTAACCATTCAGGTTAAAAACTCAACAAAATAATGTATGGACTGTACTTAGACAACATGCTTTCTACAGCGCTACAACATTTTTGAGAGCTTTATAAATAATAAGAAGAATAAATGGTTATGAAGCCAGGAGTGACCTGGTTCACCTCCACCAATGAGTGTAGTCAAGTCCTTTCACTTCTTATGAAAGGTCTGCCACGCGTCACTCCCCACTCCAGGGAGCCATAAGCTCTCTGCCTGAGCTAACACCTTCATCGATTGGTTGAGAGCAATCAGCTGACACTGAGCCAATGAGCTAGCACTACGCTGCAAGGCGAGTCAATGGAAGCTTCTAAACAGCTGTAGTAGAATGAAAGGGACTCTCCAGTGCCAGGAAAACAAACCGTTTGCCTGGCACTGCTGGTCCCCTCTCCCCATCCCAAGTTGGTGAAGGGATTAAAACCCCTTCAGTGACTTTCCTGTATCCAGCGCTGATGTCCCTTGGTGCTGGGTCAGGGTCCGCCCACGTCATCCGGCGGGGGGAACCTATTGCGCATGCGCGGCTGCTTGCGTGGGAGACCTAATGCCACGCATGCGCATTAGACCTCCCCATAGGAAAGCATTGAAAAATGCTATCAATGCTCTCTATGGGGATTTCAGCGACGCTGGAGATCCTCACATAGTGTGAGGACGTCCAGCGACACTATAGCACACAAGCACTAAATGTGTGCTATAAACCTGGAAGTGCCCTCTAGTGGCTGTCTAGAGGAGGAGTTAACCCTGCAGGGACCCCCTCCCGCCCAGCTCTGGAAGGGGGAAAGGTGTTTAAACGTACCTTTTTCCAGCGCTGGGCGGGGAGCTCTCCTCCTCCTGGGCTGAATGCGCACGCGCGGCAAGAGCTGCGCGCGCATTCAGCCCCTCGCATAGGAAAGCATTTATAATGCTTTCCTATGGACGCTTGCGTGCTCTCACTGTGAAAAATCACAGTGAGAAGCACGCAAGCGCCTCTAGTGGCTGTCAATGAGACAGCCACTAGAGGCTTTGGGGGAAGGCTTAACCCATTAATAAACATAGCAGTTTCTCTGAAACTGCTATGTTTATTAAAAAATGGGTTAACCCTAGCTGGACCTGGCACCCAGACCACTTCATTAAGCTGAAGTCTGGGTGCCTAGAGTGGTCCTTTAATGTTAAAGTGATAATCTAAGCTCTCACCCTCCGGTTCTCTTATTTAGGAGTTAAATTATTTCTGCATCTGTTAAGACAGCTGAAACCATACCACCACTGCCTATGACTTCCACAGTCTACATGAAAAGAAAAAGGTTTAATTTTCAGTCAGATAGTGACAGCACAGTGTTTACTTTAGAAGTTTTTTTTTTTTTTTAATCTCCTGCTGTTAATTGAACTTTAAACACAGACTCCTGTAGGCTGTTTACAGAGCAGGACATAAGAATTCTAAATTAAAAAGTCCGTGCAATGAAGTTTAAACATTAGATCTCTATACAGGAAATACGTACGTTGACTGTATGGTTCACATGTAACGGAGGTGCGGCTAAGGCTGCATGAGCAAAGTGATTTATCTCCTTAATGGCAAGAATTGAGGAGTTAGACTGCAGGGTAATTATCTACACACCAAAACCACTTTATTAAGCTAAAATTGTTTGGTGATTAGTGTCCCTTAAGGTGCATGCTTTTTTTTGGTTTTATAACTATGTCTAGTGCTTGGGTGCAGTACGATCCATTTTCCTTCACTCACACAACAGAGGAAACTGCTACATGTAGTAATCTCCCTCACATTTGCTTTTGGAAACCTCATATTTGAGGCTCAGTTCAAGGTGAAATAGGTACAAAGCCTAATGTGTACTTCTGTGTGTATAGATGTGGGAAATGTAATTTTCTCCACAAACAAATGAGGACTGACAATTACAGTGAAAGTCCACTGTTTAAATGGACATTATAGGCACCCACACTACCTTAGCTCATTGAAGTGGTCTGGGTGCAGTGTTCCAGGTCCCTTAACCCTGCAAAGGTAATGAACTGCAATAATTGTCTTTTAGGGTTAACTACACCTCTGGTGACTGTCTACCATCCACCATCACGTAGAACCCCATAGAAAATAATTATGCTTCCCTATGAGTTGAAGCAAGAATGTGAGCACAGGCGTTGCCGTGCATGCAGTCATCCCCCTCCGTCGGAGCCTGAAAAAGCGCAGAGGGACATCGGTGATGGAATCAGGTGACAGAATATTCGTTTTCCGCATTCTCAAGTAGCACCTGCCAACTAGAGCAATTAATTGGCTTATATTCGAAAGAAGGCCAGAATTGGAGATAGAGCTTTGAGGCTCAATTAGAGAAGCTGTGCTAGTTTTGGCATTGGGTGAACTACCAACCAAGTATTCATACTTTGCCTGTAGCATCGCTGACTCCAGAGGTCACTCCGGCTCGCTGTACCATGGACATCGGAAGCCTCCGTGGTCTTGCAATTCTACTTGGAAACAGAGCATCCCTGGACACCAAAAGCTGGCTCCTATCAAAGCCTGGAGGTGGTGAGTCAATCTGACACACAGGACTGTCGCTGTCAATACTGCAGCGAGAACCCCCTAAGAATCTATACCAAAACGGTTTTAGTTCTTTTGTTTTTATACCCATGCATAGTTGATCTAGCAAGAGTTATTATTGTTCATTGGAGTTTACCAAGCTTGTTTAGTTATAGCGAAATACTCATTTCATATCCAGTCTGATATTTATTTTTAATAAAATTTAAATAAGGTAAGTTTAAAAAAAAAAAAAAAAGAAAAGAAAATAATCGCCTAAAGACCCAGAAGTCCCTCTAGTGTCTGTCTTGTAGAGGTGGAGTTAACCATAGCAGGTAATTATTGCAGTTTATTAAAATCTAGGACACTGCACCCAGACCACTTCAACGAGCGTAAGTGGTCTGGAGGCCGACAGTGTGCCTTTAATTGTATCACAAGTCATTGCTAACTTGTGTTTATTCCACTGCACATCAAAACAAAGAATGTGTAAAAAAAAAAATTAAAGGTCAGCAAGAATAATTTCATAGTGTCCCTTTGTGAATAAATAACCAGATAAGTAAAACAATCCTTGGACTTAGAATTTGGCATTAATGTAAGAATCGTAATTGCTTGCCCAAATATCAAGCATGGTCGCTGTGCAGGAGGAGCGAAAACGCTGCAAAATACACATGTCCAGTTACAAGAACTCAATAGGATACATTGATTACAAAAAGCTTTATTGATAATCACAGATCAGGCATTTGGCATGGCATCACAGGAAGAGCCAAAAGCAAGTCTAGGTTTTGGCTTCCCCAGTGATGCAATTCCAAACTCCTGACCTGTGAGTATCAATAAAGCTTTTTGAATTACTTCATACACTGTTGACTGTAGTGCTCCATAAACTTGTATTTTGCAAGATAACCCAATAAATCAATTATATAAAAATATAACATTGAGTGTTTTTCCCTCTCAGAACTTGAACATTGAGGTTTTAACACACAAAGCTAAATCTAAATTAGTCCATATTTGATCGAACTATTTTGAATTTAGAGGATCCTCCTTCTTTGAAGAAAAAAAAAAAATCTTTGACAAATAAGATCTTGTGTTTGTACAAAATGAAAGGTACAGCTGAAAAATACATAGAAAGAGTTATATTGTACAGTACAAAACGGTACTTCCTTAAGGGTTAATAAAATTATGTTTCAGCATAAAGTAAGATCAGCATACTCATCTGTTACTTTAACAAAAGTATATATTTGTACATTTTGAAAAAACAAAAAAAAAACAGTTTACAAATGTCTATACACAAATTAAAGATTAAACCTTGATTAAGGGAAATAAAAATAGGTTTAGAAATTTAGTTTCTTTGTCCACTTTTGGTGTAGAAACACAGCGAATCAAAACATTTCTCAAAGAGAAATCAAAACAGCTATAAGATTGGCCACTTAAGTAGCAAATTGTGAAATTCTGGTCCAGGGATGTTGGATTATAAGCCGCATTTTCAAGGAACCTAAATAGGGCCACCACTCATGACCCAGTGGTATTTCTACACGTGGATTTTAAAAAACAAACAAGATTTGAGTCTTTTTAAACAGTTCATAATCGCCATTTCATCCTCTAATCCTCTTCCTCCTGTTTAATCTTCTTCTTCTTCTTTTTCTTTTTGGGAGTCTATTGATGGGAAACAAAAGGGTTTATTAGTATAACATTATCACCAAACAGCTTTTAAAGGAACATTTTAGGCTGACTGAATGGGACCTCAGTTTATTAATGGAATATATAGTTAATGCAAAAATTCCACATGCAAATAGCAGCGCCGAACTTTGCTCAAAGCAGGAAGAGACTCCACTAATTCTTAAGCCTTTCAACTCTGTATGTAGGTCCGATTTTATCTCACAATCTGCTGCCTAGAAAGAGTTTATGGGAAACCTGGTTCGACCACAAAAACAAACTTCTATATTGTTAAAACTATACAACTGCCCCTCATAGGTTTCAGATGGAAATAGTATACTTTACTTACATATTTTTTTAGTTTTACCCAGAGACTTATTTTTTGAAGCTTGTCAATCAGCGAAAATATATTGAATAATCTTAGCCAGAGAACCACTGTGTAAGTGCTTTTCAAAAAAGTTAATGGACTACAGCTCCTAAAGCACTGCATATATGATATATTTGACTGCCCGTATAGACCAATTGCTAAGCACAGAGTAACAGGAATGTTTAGGTTTTTTTTTTTTTTTTTTTAAAGAAAATGTATAAATTCACAAGAGAGTCTGCTAGCACAATGTACAGATGGATTATTGTGGTCCCCTCCTGTACCCAATATATTTTATATAATGACGGGTACACTTTAAGGGCAAAACTCCTAAGATAATGGTCAGCCACATTTCTAAAATAGAGATCTTAAATTAGTGCAGGCTGGAGTGTTTTAGGCGTTTGGAGTGTTGCTTTCAAGTATCTTATTAGGTAGGTTTTCTGTCCTGAACACACTGTCATATAGAATGTAAAGACATCATTCACATTGTAGACTCATATTACCTCTGCAGCTGTGCTGGTTGTAGGCTCTTCAGCTTCTTCCATCACCTCCACTACAGCTTCTTCCTCCTCCTCCGTCTTAATCTTCTTTTTCTTCTTCTTCTTCTTTGGTGCCTCTTCCACTGGTTCTTCTGTAAACAGGTGAGATGATGAATGAATAAAAAAAATAAAAATAAAAGCTCCCAAAACACTGTCTAGTGCTTCTAAAGCAGACATTGTGAACCTCAATATGGCATATTGTACTAAAGGTAAACAGAAAATCTATGTAAAGTAGAATGCACAAGTCAGATTGTTTTTGCACAAAATTACAGCTAGTTTAAAAATAGATTTAAGATAGGCCATTTAACTTTTCTTTTTAATCTGACAAAATGTTTCATCCATTTTTTTTTGTACATTGTATGCCTAATTTTATTATGTAGCATTTTGGGGACCTGATGTACATGCATGGTGAGTGTTGTGAATGCATCCAATGCTTCTCATTAAATTCAATGCTTCCCTAGAAAGCGTTTTACTTGGTCATTACAAAGGAAGGCCTCTAGTAGGAATCAGAAACATTGCAGTTTCTAAAAAAACTGCAATGTTTTACATTGCAAGGTTAAAATGACAGGAGCTCTGCACCCAGACCACTTCATTGAAAATCCTACAGAATTTAAATGCCAAAGCACAACTGGAACATCACAGGGCAATGGCAATTATCTGAACACAGATTTGAGCCTAACTCACTGCTCAACTATGTTTATGAAGTGAATGAATTGGAACGGTCATTTGCAGAGAAACTACAGTTTTGCTTTAATGTATGCTAGAATCTAACAGTGATAGGAGAGCAGCTCAGTGGTCCAGGGGAGACAGAGACTATATACAGGTCAGGTGTATTCAAACTCAATACTACCTGGAGAATCTAAACCACGACACCTCTGATCTAATAAAATAGTGACAAAATGACCATAAGTAGTGTCTTCAGACCTATCGTTAACCATACAGAAAACAAAATACAAACCTTCAACTTCTTCCACTACTTCCACTTTGGGCTTTTTCGCCTTTTTTACTTTGATCTCAGTTGGTGGCTCTTGCTCCTGCTCCACCTCTTCAAACTTGCGTTTCTTTGGGACAGAGGGCAATGTAGAGTCACCAGATGGATCATAGGTTCTAACTTCACTGCAAAGAGAGAAACAAAACTAGGTTAAGGCATGATCTACCCCCCTGGGGCATTCAGCACAAACTAGGATTTGAAAGGAGGGGAACAAAACAAAAAGTAAACAACTGCCTTAAAAGTAGCATGTGTCAGATACATTAAATAGTTGAATATTAATAAAAAGGTGGATATTGAAGCCAGCCATAATTTAAAAGTATATCACTAGATACACAGAAAACACAACATAGAAGAGTACATACAGAACAACATGGAACACAAATGACTACCTCTTATGCTGGTACTTGTCCGCTCTGGCAAGTGCTTTTCCGGTGCCACTGATTCGTTTGAGCTGAGAAATGAAAAAAATGTTAATCAAGAAGTGTGCCATCCAACGTTGCATTGACAAATATCAATTATTTTGGCCTCAGACGAGGTAGTGACTGAAATTGCCCTCATGGAGTTATCAGGCAATCAAATCAAGTTCTCTTCATTGACCAGTAGCTTACATAAAAGGTCTGAAGCTGCTAGATGTACTTACTCCTCTTTCTTCCAGTTGTCGGAGACGCAATTCTAGCTTCGCTCTGGTCTCTACACCCAAATCTACATTTGTGTCCTCTCCAAGAGCGTCGTATCGAATGGCAAGAGCTGCCTTGGCAGCCAACATACGGGAAATCTATGGGGAAAACAAGGTGAAGCATTGAGAATCAAACAATCAACAGCGTAGCAGGACTGAAGAGGACGCCAGAATGATTTGCATTTAGTTTTCTTCTAGAATTTTTTTTTAATTGAACAGTGCCTAAATATTAAAGGAGTTTTATATTAAACAAAAAAGTGGTCATAAATTGAAAAAAAAAAAAAAAAAGGGGGAACAATTGCTAGACAATTAACAACGTAAACACCAATGACATGCTTGTGTTATACAATTATAAGCAGGTGTTTACGAAGTCCATATCAAAATGCTAGGTCTTACTGGAGTTTTATTCCCCATTCTTTACCTACTAGAGACCCGGCACCCAAAAGAAAGCATTAATTATATTAATAAGAAACAGATAAAGAAGAATCTCCTGTTAAGAAGCATCAAGAACTGTGGGACATGTGTTTCCCTTTCTCTGTTTAACAGAAAGAAAGAGACCACAGAGATTAGAGATTGCATCCCGTTCAGGTAAATTACACACCGACTGTGGGGATTACACAGACAGTACACACACCTTGCCCTTGTTTTTAGGGGTAGTCTGGCCAACCAGCGAAGCATGATAGATTAGACCATATTTCGGAGTGTCTCGTTTAGTCTTCAGAGCTCTGAATAGCGCTTTTTCTGCACCCAAGATCTGCACAGTTGACGCAGGATGCTTAGCCAAATTCAACAGTGAGCCTGGTAGAAACAAAAATAAAAAGTGTCAATAACATTGCCGGAATACATTGACAACATGACGTTAAGTTAATGTTATCTCAGATGAGGTAGTGACTAGAATTGCCCTCATATATTATCAGGCAATTATACAGAATCATCATCATTGATTACATAATAAACAGACTACATCAGAAGCTGCAAGTAAACAGAGGCCTTCGTTTTATCCATTTACAGAAAGCTTTGGGTGGCCGGAGCCTTACCAGCGTGGGAAATGAGCCTGGCGCCAACTAGTTCTCCTACTAGCAGTGTGAGGTTGGGTGCAATGGCCATCATTCTGTTCTTCAGATAGTCATACAGCTGCGACCTGTACTCTGTGATCTCAATCACCTACAAGGGAATATTTGGAACAATGTAAGCGGCCAGGCCGACTTAAAGGCTTATTATATAAAATCCATGCTAGATGCTTTGTTGCCTTTAACAGAATGACAACAACTCCACTTTTAATTTCAGTCAGTGAAGAAGTTTACTCTCGAAGAAACACAACTAGACATAATACATGGAACAAAACAAAACATTCTGACAGTCGTAACCCCTTCACAGAGTAACCCCCCCACAAACATGCGCCAGGTCTACTGTAATTGAAAGTAAAGTATTTGAAACACTTTGTTGGCAGGGACATGCAATTAATCCATAAAGCATCTCAACAAGCTGAAGTACTTTAAGGGACTGGAGTGTCCATTTAATGTCCAGCAAAGAAGGAGTTCACATTTGACCGGCAACCATAACAGTTGAATTCTGTAGAATTATAAAATTGTTGTATATATTGCTCCCAATGCACTAAAAAGTGTATACACCTTGCCGCCCATCGACTTACCTGGTCACACAAGTGCAAGATGTTGGTTATGTCTTCTTCTGACACTTCTGTTCCCATGGAGATCTCTGCAGCTGCCTTCACCTCTGCTTCCACCTCTTCTGGGAGAAAATCACTCAAGTCGAAACTGGAAAAGTTAACTCTGTCCCCTAAAAAAGCACGGGAGAAGTAGTTTTAAGAGTTGTTGTTGAGCTTTTCAATACATGTTACATGTTAACCTGTGTAGTAGCCACTGACGTGCAAGAAAGAATTAACTGATTTATTTCAAGCAAGAATACGCTCCAGGTTGCACACAAAAAGTGAAGAGTCTTGATCTCTAGCACATACAAGAAAAGGGCTAAATCTTACAAGTTAAGAGACTGCTATTGTGAGCCCTATTAAATGCAGTTAAAACAAAATATCAAGAGATCTTGAAGAATAGTATAAAGCAAAAGAATGTATGCAAACTTTCAAACAGGTCTCAGATGAGGTAGTGACTAGAATTGCCCTCATGGATGTATCAGGCAATTACATATAAATCATCATCACTGACCAGATTTGGAGTCCGCCACTAGAAGAGCTATAAACATCACATAAGCGACCAACAGCTGCAGAACACAACCAAAGATGGTCATCAATATACCACTCAGCCTGTGTAATGCTTAGTTGTGACACTCTCCCATAAGGACAAAGATTATGGGGAAGTGCTTTATGGGTGAAGAGTATCTTATCTTAAACCTAGTTCAGAAAAGTGCAAATTTCAATGATAAATTGGCACTTATAATTAAAACCACAGAACACTCCCTGGCCGTCAAAGAACCGAAGAGGTTTGCAGGGCACAAATTTAGAGGCTTCTCAATGACCTATAGTTTCTTCTGGGGGGGGGGGGCTCAAAAAACTGCAGCCACTGCAAGCCCTTTTAACGTGTACCCACCAATGAATGCATGCACAAAAAGCTCATGTATGTATTCATTGGGGATCTACTAAAAAGTAATTTATTTAATGTCCAGGAAAAACTTTATGGTCAGAAAAATGCTAATTTTTGGAAGTGTTACAGGTTAGTTAACGATGGTTCTATGTGTAGCATTCAAAACGCACACATTAACAGATTTCAGTTTTGCAGGATTAGTGAGATGTTTTTAAGAAATTTGTGCCTTCTGGTGAGACTCTGATGAAGGAACAAAAAGGAATTTGAAAACTCATAACAGAGCAAATGTACAGAATCAGAATGTGTCAAATTCTAATTTTATATGCTGAACAAATATTAAGGAGGACAATAACTTACCAACTGCACGAACACACTTGCAAAAGGCCAAGTTATCTGTGATGATCTTGCCCAGTTCAGGAAAATGCCATCCGTACCACTCTCTGCAGCGCATCACGTAGTTGTTCAGCTCCTTATCCAGATCATCCAAAAGAGCTTGAAGTAAAAAAATAAATAAAAATTCAATATGTATAAAAACTACAGATGCCGATTGTATTTTGACAAGTTTTCTGCAAAAACACCAACATGAAAATATTTTCAACCTATAACTAACATTTATATCAGGAATTGGACCCATTATTGGATTTTCAGGTTGGAGTGACACTATAGATTGGCAATATCCTGCAAGTAGGATGGCGTTTGACAGATAGGCAGTTAGAAACAGGACAAGGCATCTACACGATATATCCAAGGATTAACTCATCAACGATTGATTGATTGCAGACAGGCTAGTTCAACTTCAATGAGAATTAAAATGTAGCCTGCCCTGCAGTGTTTTATTACAATGCTTTGGTAGATTAAAAATTGGTAACTATGCCCCTGATCTCACTCACACAAAGAAAAAAATAATCTCTTATACTTACATATCGCTTGAACTATCATTGTGTCCACTTTATCAGGACTGAACTTCAGCTTGTATCGAGACAGACTGAAATAAAGAATATATCACATTTATTGGGTTTGGCACACAGCAAATTTACACTATCAGGTACAATTCAGTTATACAATCAAAAGTTTAGATCTAAATCTAACCTTAAAGAAGGTCCAGTAAGCACGAACCACTTAAATCCCTGTGACCTTAAATGTATTTCACGGGCAAATTCAAGTAAGAAGTTATGGTATGTCAGCTGCATTGATGTAATGTCGAATGAATTAATGTTTACTAACATCCATAAACGGCAGCAAAATCAATCAAAAAATCCCAACGCTAAGCAGGGTTCAAAAATCCCAAGTAAACGGATTTTACTATGCCCTTTATTCTGAGATACTCTCAATTATATGATGCAGGTTATACACTCCATGATGGAGTTCAGCACAATGCCAAGTATCCCGTGTGACTGTGGTACTCAAAAAAGGATAACACAAAATTCCTGATTACAATGCAGCTTATGCCATAGGAGTCCTAAAAGTCTAAACCAAGTGAGCTAATTTAAAAGCTATACCACGGGACAAACACTGCTCTAAAGAACAAATAAGGTATTACTCACCTGTGAGCCAAACCCAGTGACATGGCAGCCATCTCACGAGACGAAAGTCCTGAGATCAGTCCATCTATCTGATTACGGATGCCTCTCATCAGTTCGGTGACCATGGCGCTGTGAACACAGCTGAGGTTGGCCTTTTCCTATAAGAACGACAAAGAAAAAAACATCCAGTTCACTATAGTTACATAACATTTTACAGCTGCAGTCATTTTAATAAAAAGAACAGTACGCAAGATCCTATGTTAGAGAAAACTATGAAATGACAAATCTATCCCAATAAGTACAACAGTAAAGTGTGCAAAGAAATGCAATGTGTACCCAGACCATCTAAGACTATAGCCAGCTCTGCTAAAACCAAAACATCAAATCACTTGCATCAATGTGAGCTTGTCATGAAAGGTCTATCTTAAATAGCTTCAAAAGCAACAGATTATATAACTGACAAATGATATATCTAATTGATTTATGAGCTATTAGCCTTACCACTGAAATAATTAGATAAAGGAAAACAATAACTCTAAGGCACAGTACCCGGAGACTTATGCCTCATTATTGGGGAATAGCCCTCAACAGGAACTCACTTATACTTGCCAAAACTGAGAAAATAGGTCTATTTGGTCAATTTAAGTAAGGGAAAAAGCGACTAAATTAACAGCCACATCTACATGTCCACCATGGCAATCTACTGGCTCAATACAACAAGTCAGTTTTTTGCCTCGGTTTATTTTATTTGTAACAATTCAGAGTTTAGTGTATAACCCTCATCTGTTTCACCTTCTGTCCCCTCAACCAAAGTGAGAGTATGCCTGCAGACAATGTATGTGATTTGCCCCAGCTTGTCTCTGCATCCAAATCCCCAATAGTGCATGTACCCTATCCCACACCTCTATTAATGTCGCCCAACCAAACTCATCTCATTAGTGAGGTGTCCATTAGGGCCCCTAACTCATTTCCATTATTGTCTTCGCCCGCCCCCCCCCCTCCCACAAAGCTTCAGGTATGAAGTGGAGTCCGAGGCTGGGCAGAGGGAAGGGACAGCAGTTTGGTCCACGCTACAAAGTAAGTGGGACTTTACAATAAAACAGACTGTCGCTAGGAGCGCATGCCCACATGCTCCCTGTAGCAGCCTTGCCGCTTACCTGCCCGGAACTATATGTCCCAGGCATGCTTCCTGGGGAAACCGCAATGAAATGAGAGAAGAATCAAGTAGAGGAGTTTCCTCCTGCTCTCCCATCACTCATTCCTCAGCATAGACCTGCATGCCACCAACAGCAGCACCAATCAATACACCTGCCTATAGAATGCAAGAAGGATTTTTAATGCACTATATTCTAATTCTGAAAAGTTGTTCTCATACATTATATCTGAAGTGACAATACACAAAGCTCTCATTCCTACAGCGCCAGAAGTGTTGATCCTCTGACATCGTACTGGACAATGTAATGACCATGACTGGAATGTTTCTTAAACCTTGGGATTCCAAATGGCGCCATCTAGCAGTTAAAATAGCTGGGTAACATTTATTACATTGTACCTTGATAACCCCACCAAGTTTGGCATCTGCAATCGCCAGTTGCTCGTGGGCATCTTTGGCTGCGAGTTTTTTCAGGACTTTCTTCAAGTTCTTGCTCAGCTTCCCTTCAATCAATGCGGTGGACGCTGAAAATAAAAATGGTTGTAAGTTGTCTAGTAAAACTTTGTTCTGCTTTAGGGTAATTCCCAGGACTCAAAGTTTGCTAAATAAATCCAAATGGCAAAACCGATGTGAAAATAGCCACATTGTGACTATAGCAGAGTTAGAGAATTTTTCCACGTTAGCCATTTTTGCCTCCATTTCTCCTTTAAGAATTATTTTGTAAAAATTCTGAATTCAGCAAATAGCCCTTGGACAGAAAAAGTGTTTTTTGTTGTTGTTAATTCTACAGCCCTGGTATACCACAATTCACAAACAGCTGCTGATCTCAGGATTGGAGAGAGAGAGAGAGAAAAAGCACAGTAAACAATTCATTCACTATAGCAGACTGCAAACACAAACATTTCGATTACATGTTGTAAAGTAGCCAGACAGACAAGTCGCCTCAGCGGTAGTGACGAAATGTTAATGTAAAAATCATCTTATTTCATCTTAACAAATTTCCATCATTGGCGACATACAATATTTGACACATTAAGACAGCTGCACAGCAAATTTAGTATGGAGGGTAATTAAAAGTCTAATGTTCCAAAATAACATTAAACAACAAAGGAACATTTTGCCTCTAGCTCACATTTTTCTCCATGAATGTTTTATGGATTTCACCTAGGACGTATTTACCTGCTAAAGCTTCTGTGGTGTCCTGGAACTTCTCAAAGTGTTTTAATTTCACTCTGGGGAGAGAGAAAAAGCAAACAAACAATGACGTGGTCACATTCTGCACAGTTGTTCCACCACTGAAATCAAAATACATAGAAAGAGTGGAATGCTACACACTTAAAACAAAAAAACAACATACCCTTAAAGCCAATGCACCAAGAGTCCACATTACTGAAACCATATTCAAGATTATTCACTTAAGGAAAAAAACTGCACACATTTTGTTTACTGCATGACATAGTGACATGTTACTTGCAATAAACAAGTAAACAGTACCATTTATTGTTGCCTCAGTGGTAGTGACAAAATATTGAACGTAATCATAGGTAATCAATTCAACAATGGATCCATCATTGGCAACAAACAGGATTCGCTAAAACTACAGACAAATTCTGTGACTGCGCAAACGGGGATGAGACATTTTGTATTACTCCAACTTCAGAGGTAAATCATAGGCTGAAAGCTTTGGGGAAGTATAATGAAAAAAATAAATAAATCAAAACTTACATTTTATTTGCTTTCTCTGGCGTTTCAAATTCCTTCCATATACTATCAACTTCTTGCAATTTACTCTCATCTAGGACCTATGGGAAGAAGGAATTGTATATGTTAATACAGTGGTTATGGTTCCTAGGGCTGCCCCGCGGTTCACCTTTGAACAGTTTAACACCAGAACAGCCCAGTTCCTGGCTAAAGCGTAATTATATATTGCCACAGTTATCACTGCAGAAATGAAGTCACCCTCACCCTCGTTCAATGTTAAAGGACCACTCACCTGCCCAAATTAGGGGGAGTGGAGGGAGGAAGCACTGTTTAGATGATATGCCCCCAATAAATACATGCATTAAAGGACCACTATAGTGCCAGGAAAACACTCGTTTTTCTGGCACTATAGTGCCCCCACCCGGCTCTGGAAAGGGGTTTAAACTTACCTTTTTCCAGCGCTGGACGGAGAGCTCTCCTCCTCCGTTCCGTTGGCTGAATGCGCACGCGCGGCAAGAGCTGCGCGCGCATTCAGCCGGTCACATAGGAAAGCATTCATAATAATTGTGAAAATCACAGTGAGAAGCACGCAAGCGCATCTAGTGGCTGTCAATGAGACAGCCACTAGAGGCTTTGGGGGAAGGCTTAACCCATTAATAAACATAGCAGTTTCTCTGAAACTGCTATGTTTATTAAAAAATGGATTAACCCTATCTGGACCTGGCACTCAGACCAATTCATCAAGCTGAAGTGGTCTGGGTGCCTAGAGTGGTCCTTTAATTTTAGCTCAAGGGAGCCAATGGAAGGAAGCTGCAAACCTCCCAGACTAACTGATAGCATGGGGGTGTTTCCTAGTTAAATTATAAAAGTGCCGATTGGAGGGTTAATTTAAATAATCTGAATGTTTAGTTATTGAACAGTGCATTGGTACTCCACTTCAAGGAGATAAAGTGGTTATGGTGCATAGAATGTCACTTTAAAGGACCACTGAAGTCACGCATAACATTGCATCTCAATAAAGGTGTCTGGGTGCAGTAGACAGTTTCCAATAAAATTATATGTTGTGGTGATTTCAGTGGAGTTCAATGTTTTACACACACACAAAAACGAACTAGGGACCTACGGTACATGTGCTGAAATTGGCACACGTATCCAGCCCTATGGTTCTCATAAAGAAGCACTGAAATGGCCTTCATAAAAAAACTCATATAGTGGCTTACAGTCAGACTGCCACTAGGGGCATATTCTCTGACAAATACAAACACTGCCAGACTAATTGATTTGTATTGTTACTATGGCAAAGTGTAATATTTGATGCTTATGAGGTTAAACTAACCATAATGTCATAAACATCTAAATTTCTTATGATAAAGAAGTCTATCCTTTTTTATCCCCGCACACCTACATTAAGGAAGAGGAATTTACTTGTAATCTCTCAATAAAGTAATACTAATGAATTAGCAGAGCAAATGTATTCCTAATTCAAGTATCCCATTGGCTATCTGGTCCCTGCGAGGAGTAAAATATATATATATATATATATATATATATATATATATATATATATGTATATATATGAATAGAAAAGGTATATTCTTCCTTACATGACACACTGATGATGAGATGTACTGGTCTGGGTGTATATAGTGTCCCTTTAATCTGTCAGTCAGGCTGGGAGACATACATGCTGCATTTCATGTACTCCTTGCATGGATTTTAACCTATATGCAGACTTTTGCATCAAAGGGACACTATAGCCACCCAGACCACTTCAGCTCAATGAAGGGGTCTGGGTGCCAGGTCCCTCAGGTTTTAACCCTCCATATGCAAACATAGCAGTTTCAGAGAAACTGCTATGTTTACATTTGGGGTTAATCCAGCCTCTAGTGGCTGTCTTCCAAACAGCCACTAGAGGCACATCTGGGACACTGAATGCGAATTTCGCCTCCATCGCGCAGAGCGTCCATAGGAAAGCATAGAGAAATGCTTTCCCATGGACACTTTGAATGCGCACGCGGCACTTGCCGCGCATTTGGCTGCAGTGACATCGGAGAAGTCACCAGCGCCTGCGCTCGATTAAGGTAAGCAGCTGGAGGGGATTTAACCCCTTCAGCGCCACAGGAGGGGGACCTTGAGGGTGGGGGCACCCTCAGGGCACTATAGTGTCAGGAAAACGGATTTGTCACGGGTTTTGTGACAGCGCCAGGGCACTCCGGTGATCTGGTGTGGTTATTGTGCTTGAAGTGTTCATCTAAGCCTAAGATATTTGAAAACAAAAGGTCTTCTGTGTTCTTCAGCTGAACAAGGTAATGCTTCTCATACAGAAGAATCAGACAACGATTCTCTATGGGAAGCAAAGGTCTACCACAATGTTTCCATATGAAAAGAATCTGCATGGACATGATCATGTGGTAATGACCGGACCACCATGAAGATTTTATCATGGCGCTGTGGTATATATATTTTTATTATTTTGTTTTTACAGGGTTACACCTAGCACCACAACCACTACATTGATCTGGTGCCTGCAATCTGTACGTTCGTAATTTCGCTATGCAGCGTTTAAACCCCTCGGCTACCAGTCGATGTTGTAAACTCTGCTTCAGAGTAGAAAAGAAGCAGTGGGACCCAGGTAACAAGTCAAATTGTTTGTCCTATACCAGGAAATAGTCGAAGGTACGCCACATACACGAAGTACCCTTTAATGGTCGTGTTGGGGGAGGAGCAGTATTGCAAGGGGGAGGTGGATAGATAGACACTCTGTAACATTATTAACATTAACTTTAGTGTCCAATGACATATGGCCTCCAATGTTGAACTGAGTTCCAAGATCCTAAATTCTCTCTCAGACATATATTCCTAATTTGGGCTGATGGGCAGTACATGAAAAGGACTGCCCTGCTATATGTAAGCCCTCCCGCCGCATATGAATTCTACATACATGCACCGATTTCTCTCTTTTATGCCCATCTGAATAAAAGTGATGAGTCCAGGCATGCATCGTATTATAATATTTAGGGTCAGAGCCTGATTAAAGCAGCACTATCTGCCTATAATAATGAGAATATATATATCTGCCTATAATAATGAGAATATATATATCTGCCTATAATAATGAGAATGTATCTGTTAAAGTTTCAGTGAAAGCCCCCGATGCTGTCTCAGTGAGCCATGCGGAGTGATGCCCGGTGTCTGCACGTGGTGCCCGAGGTGGCCCAGTAGCCACACGCGGCCAGTGAGGGGCTCTCCACGTGGCCTCCTCCTCACCTCCCCCACTATCCCCGGCCCGCTGACACTCACTCACCTTAAATATGGCGTAACCCGCCGCGGTCTCAAACAGCACCAGCATGGCGGGGCCGGAATTCGGGGACAAGCGATGGAGGTCGCACCGAGCCGCGCTGCACAGACACGTGTGAGTCGGCTCCCAGCAGCAAGCGCGACATCCGCCCTAACCCCGCCCTGTTCCGTGACGCCACTTCCGCTCCGGCCGCGCGACTTCCCATCCTCCCTTCCTGTGCTGTGCGCGTGCTGGCAGGGGGAGGGGACACAGTGAGAGCTGTGCTTTCAGCTAGCAGTCACACAGTGAATGACCAATCCAGGCACCATAACAACTGAATGCCAATGAAGTTGTTATGGTGCTCGCAGTGGTCATTTAAAGGGACTCTCTAATAAAATGATCTATTTATTTATACATATCTTATGAGGTGGCAAACATTAATCCTTAAAGGGACACTCCAGGCACCAAATCACCATCTACATGAAGTTGTTATGGTGGCAGGAGGCCCCCAGGGGCACTCTTCAAGCGGTTATACCGTTTTCAAATGGCTTAATCCTAACTTTGCCTTCATCGGCGACCATAACCTCGACCCCTCCCCGACTGCATCCCGTGCTGAAATTTCACTTTCAAGAAACGCGGAGGGCAGAGACACTGCTGTTTAGTTGAGAGAGGTCAGCTGACTCTCAGACAATCAGTGACTCCCCATTGACAAAACTGGCTCTCAGTCAATCAATGTCGCCCCTGCCTGGTGGCACGCTTGAAAGTAAAATTTCAGAAACAGATGACGCCTGGGGGCGAGTGGAGTTTACCGCTGGAGGCAACTTTGGCGTTAAACTGTTTACAAACTTAGTTTATTTTATTCCTTGATGTAAGAGTGCCTCTAGGGGCCTCATAGTGTTATGGATAGAAATTAATGTAGGTAAAATGTATATTTACCATGTATACCTGTATTCAGTATTTACTCAAAATGGCTGCTAGAGCACCCCCTCCCATTGACCAAACACCTTGTGTAACAAGATGGCGTCTCCATCCGGAGTAAAATCCCAAGATGATGGTGACATCACACTTTGGAGGAAGTGCATTAGATAAGACACTTATGACTTGACCATTTAAGATGTATACTCTCTGTTATCTCATGTTTTGCATATGATGTATGATGTGGAATCAATCAATTAATTGATTATCTTGCGTATCTGCACCCGACCAAATTAAAGAAGTAATGCGTGCACGCTCCTAAAGTAATTCACACCAGACACAGGTTTCGGGTTAATGAAAAACTTGAGGAATGTTTATTCTGAGGGGACTGCGTGTCCCTTATAAAGCAAAATTACATCCTATGCATTGTCAGAGATAACATGAAATAATACATCAATAATTGGTTAGGTGTGAAGTGGTTCATTTAATGCTCTGCTTACTGGGGGTGATGTCACTGGTATCTTGGAGGTCTCCCCCAGATTCCAGCGCCATCTTGTTAATGAAGGTGTTATTCGATGTCAAGGGGAAACTCCCTAGCGACCATTGTAGGTAAATCACATATAAAGTTGAATAATGCTGATTGTAGTTATACTGAGTAAATTGGCATCTTACCAACATGGATTGGGTTAATATCTTTGTCCACAACAATGTATTTTCTGCTTTATAAGGGGCTTGCCACCCCTCTAAGTAAACATTCCGAATTTTTTCATTAACCTGAAACTTGTGTCTCAGTGTGATTTACTTCCGCGTGCACGCACCTTATTTTACACAATTTGAACAGGGGCAGATTCTCAAATGAACAAACACTTGGTTTGATCCAGAACAATAGCACCATATCAACTTCATTTAGATTACATTGTTTTGGTGCCTGGAGAGTCCCTTTAACCCCTTAAGGACACATGACATGTGTGACATGTCATGATTCCCTTTTACTCCAGAAGTTTGGTCCTTAAGGGGTTAAGGAACAGTATAATTAAAATAAATGTGTGTGTTTACATTATGAGGTGACTTCCTTTTATGTTTAGATTACAGCTCCCTTCCCTCGTTTGTTTTGTTTTACATAACTAAAAATTAAGCCCCCGATCCTCGTCTTGTGAAGTCACGCTAGAAACGAAGAGGCTGCATGTAAAGACTTTCATAATAGTCACAATCTTAAAAGAAATCTGTACTGCTTACATGGCCCTCCACTGCCGCAATCTCATTAAAGATTTGGGTGTTACACTTCTGTAACACACATCTCTGGCCCACACGCGCTTCTCCTCTGGTTTTCCTTTGGACACTTCCCCAAGCATTGCAAATACCCTCCATGATGCCAACACTCTGGCTTTGTCACTACATTACTATATAATCTAGTGGCTAACCAGCTCTAGCAGCACTGGCTGAGAAGTTACCATAGCAACCACCGCACATTCGCCGTAATTGTTATCGGTGGAAAGCAAAGGGGCTAATTCCTCAGCCTTGTGGGTCTAGAGACCCTCACTAGAAACAACCACTAAGATTCCACCAGCAGCACACATACTTTCCAATAGACCTGGATTTTGATGAGACATTCCCAGTTTCAGGGTTCTGTCCTGTATTTTTCTGCATGTGTCCCACAACTGAGGACATCAGAAAATGTCTCACAAGTCCTTTTTTTATGCTTTTTTAGTTGAGTTTTTGTTATGGTTTACAAGCAAACAATACAGTACCCAAATCTATAAAACCTAGACCTCGATTTAATATTGTTGGACAATCTTTGCTAATTATTTTATATTTTTGAATAAACTTTTCAAATTATTTCATATTATGAGGAATGGTTAATTTTGTAATATTAATATATATTGATATTTTTGTATATTTAGACTTGTTTAAAATAGTTTTTTTTCAAAACATTAAAATATCCAAATATTTATATATTTGGATATTTTAATGCTTTGAAAAAAATAATTTTAAAAGTTTATCCAAAAATATTAAATCATTTGAACAGCTTGTCCAAAAAGAATCATGGCTGAAATTGCTTGGTAACACATTCCTACATAAATGTGATGTGATGTGTGGTAAGCCGATGGAGGTGTTTTACATTATACATAACAGGTTAATTGAGCACAATCAGCAACAAAGTGTTACTCCAGCTCGATTCCCACCCATTAAAGGAACTCTATAGGAACCCATTTAAGTCATCTGGGTGAAGTGCCCCTGTCCCCTAAATCCTGCAATGCAAAACATTGCAGTTTTCGAGAAACTGCAAAGTTTACATGGCAGGATTAAGACAGCCTCTAGTGGTTGTCTACTAGGCACTTCCTGCCCACTCAGATCGCTTGCTCCATGGCCACTTCTAAGAGCAGAGGCCTTTAAGAGTAGGTGGCGTTGTACTCTACTTAGTGTCTCTCTCCTTTGTGGGGTTTCTCTAACTCTCCTCTCCCTTTATTGGTGTTCCTTGCCCTCTTCCCTTATTTTGGTGTCTCCTTAACCCTCTTCATCCCTTTTAGCGTCTCCTGACCCCTTCTTTTGTGCGCCTCAATTCCCCCATTCTTATCCAATTGGTCTTTCCATTCAACTTCTCCCCCTTTTTTATGTCCCTACTTCAATAACTCACTTTTACCTTTTTTGTGTCTCTCTAGCCCCCTAATTTTGTGGTTCTCTCCACCAATACCCCATTCTCCTTTTTTGATGATTTCCTCCTACCTTCATCTTCCCACCTCTGGTGTCTTTTCCCTAATACCCTCTTTTTTAATGGTGTCTTTCTACCCCAATTCTTAACATTTTAAATCTCTGCTACCTTTTTTTTTTTTTTTTTGGTCACTGTGCATAAAGTGGAAACTATTTCGGGATAAACAAGTGTTCACAGTTAAACCGCTTTTCATAAATTACATTTGGAATCAGACAGCCACGCAGGGCTGAGTAACCATATAACATGAAGGTAAACAAGGATGCTAACGTCCGCAATCCAATTGAATAGCATATTGTACAAATTAAGAGCTCTTATATATTCGAAAGTCGTGCCACGTTCCGGTATGCCATTCCCTTCTGCTTCCTTTTTTTTATCATTGCATGCCTAAACTCTGAGTGCTCTGTGCGCCGTTTATCTCTATTTAATGATCACACTGAAATCATGAGTGATTGGTGGCACTCCTGTATTTTGGGATTGGAGATATGACATAATAGACACAGTGGTGTATTTTAAATTTTTGCTGCACTAGGCATGATGGAACTCGGGCACCCCCTAATTTAAATATGACACACCCCCTCCGATCAAGGCCACACCTCTTCCTGTTAAAGACTAAAACACACTTTGACTGACATACACACAGATACACCCACTCACTGACCGGCACACACTCTCAGATACACTGACATACACTCACTGGCAGACACGCATAATCACACACTCACTGATTTGACACAATCTGACAGACACACAAACAATTACTGATTTTACACAATCTGACAGACACACACAATCACTCAGACACACACTGACACACGCACTAAAAGACACACATTGACAGACAAACACACTCACAGGTACACACTGATAGACATACACACATTCACTGACAGACACACACATTGACAGACATACACACACATTCACTGACAGACACACACAAACTCACTCATAGAAACACACATACTCCCTCACAGAAACACACATTCACTGACAGACACACACACTCACAGATAAAAACACACATTCACTGACAGAAAAAAACACACTGACATACAAACACACACATTCACTGACAGACAAACTCATTGACAGATACGCTCAGAGACACACTGACAGATATAACAACACATTTACTGACAGTTAACCCAAAACAGTGGATAGCGCTAAAAGAAATTTTGATATAAAGTGTAGCACTTGGGATGATAAAGATCTTAGGAATCAGCAGCAATCACCCAAATTTAGTGGGTGTCCAATAACCAGAAAAAGGTGTTGCGCTAAAATATTATGCCACACAATTCCCAAGGCCAATTCTGGGTGGGTGCACAGGGTGCACCGCGCCCCAAAGGGGGGAGGCACTAAGAGGAGACCTGTGACAGGGGGCCCAGGTGGTGGCCGTCTGGTCACCTTAAAGGACCACTCTAGGCACCCAGAACACTTCAGCTTAATGAAGTGGTCTGGGTGCCAGGTCCAGCTAGGCTTAACCCATTCTTTTATAAACATAGCAGTTTCAGAGAAACTGCTATGTTTATGAATGGGTTAAGCCTTCCCCTATTTCCTCTAGTGGCTGTCTCATT